GGTTTACAAATTTGTGCTAAGACCGCACAATGCTTCCATACTGAATGACTAGGGGAAAAAAACCTCCGATTAACTCCGCCTGGCCAAAGCGCAAAGCGAAAACTTCTGTATTTACCTTTAATCCATGAATCAGTTTGATTTCAACTATTTCTTTCGTTAGCAGCAACGCAAAGACTTTTTAGCGTGTAGTTAATTTTAATATAAGGTAAGCCCTCCCAAGATTTACTTATACAATTACAGATCTCAATTATCTTTAAACAAGATGCCTCTCAGTCCGTCGAGGTTTGAGTCACCCATACTGGTGGTATGTTTCATCCTTTCCTCGTACATTGTGTATATTTAAAACGCGTGTAATAAACTTGTAGGATTGTACGTTTAGTACCATACTGGACGAGCTTAGTTTCTCTATCCCCCCCCCTTCTTTAAAGTTCCTCTTCTATCCTACGTACTTGGGTTAGTTATCTCACATTAATTTTCTACGGGCCTAGAAGAAAATTTGCAATTTTTTCTTCTTCTTTCTTTACTTTTAACAACAACAACGTGTTCTTTGCATTTTAGAAACGATGAATGTTTCACAATTCATTTTGATAAATCCTCACCATAAAGTGAAGTCCGGTCAAATACGAATCGTATCTCTAACGGTCAATGTAGGCAGTCTCCATAGAGATTTTTGCACGAGCCTATTGTCAGTCCCAAATTGTATCAATTCTAATCTACATGGTTAAAAAGGAAATGAAATAAAGCTCTCGGTACACGATCAAATTCTCGAACCAATTACCATCAAAGTATCAGGACTGAGTCATCAGTCTTAAAATCATTAATTTGCTTAATTTTAAAATGAAAACTTGGCAGAAATGGTTCCTGTGGCAGGAAATGATGAATGATGTTACTCTATTCTGATCAAAATTTGACGGCCTGTCCAATTTTGATCGAAGAGGACTGTTGCATGGTGACCATCAGTCATCGAAGGGTCTACTCTGATCAGAATTGGTTCGGAATTTGATCGTGTATCCAGACCTTTTGGAAACGAAAATTCCTCTCCGCTTCTCTCGGGTTTCGACCACAAATGCTGAGCTCTCATCGCTAGAACTGCGTAGAATGAAAATAATGCACCAAGTATAGATGAGAAACTTGTATTTTTATAGTTAGTATTTTTACTTGTATGATTGTCGTTTTGAAGGATGTCTAGGTTGCTGGGTGTATTGAGGAAGCACAGTTGACCGCGTTTCTCGATTCGTAAGGTAAAATTGTAAATCTATGATTTGGCCAGGTCAAAGTTTCTTCTACTTGAGAAAAGTCTCCGTCGTCTTAGTATTTAAAAACTATCATTTTCATTTTATGTTCACCTTCATTCATCATTTATTTATTTTATCTGTATCTTTTTCGTACTATCAATTTTAGTTTGACTTTTTTCATATTTATTTTATGTTATGTTAATAAGTTTTATTTAAATAAAGTATATATCAATCATGATTCTTTGGAATTTTGTCTCCTCCCATATTATCCTCTTGCTCTCGCAGAGCACCTAGTAATCCTAGTACAACTGGACTTTTTGTAATTAGGAACTATAAATTCCGGCCTGGTTTAAAAACAATGTATGTGCCATTAGTTTCCCTATGCACATACTTTTTTTTCCAGATGAGCCAGCATTTATAGCTCCAAATTGCAAAATGCAGTCCAACTGATCACCTCACTCAACTTGGGGTCACCAGTCCGGAAAGCGACATCACCAATTCGTCGTTAGCCGCACGAAAGAACGCAACTCTATTCTAATGTTGCAAAACTGACCAAAATATTTAAATTTTTTACGAGAGTAAACCCGTATAATTTTCGTCTAAAATTTTTCTGATTATTGCATAAGATCAAAAGAAAACTTATTTAAATTTTCAGTCAGAATCCCTCAAAATTCTCCCGGTGTATATGCAATTTACGCGGAAAAATCTGGCAACGAAGAAATATAGCTACGTTCTTTCGCGGCCAGCCCTTGCGTATTTCAGTCCAAACTTAAGTGAATCTGAAGTATTTTGTAACTAAAAGTGACAACACAGCAATACATTATTAGAAGTTTGGGCATACTGATTGGTGTTAGCTCAAGAGCAAGTAATCCAAGGCCAGTGGCGTGGCGTGTTTTGCGATGTATCGATTGATCTGCCTTTTAAACACATAAAAAAAGATCGATAATGAACAGGGTGTTTGCATAATGAACACCTATAATAATCAATTCTTTACCACAGCTTCAAAGGGGGAATATCGAAAATCAATCATTCACGCCTCGCCCCTGTCGTTTCTTGAATAAATATCTGAATTGGACGAAACGAAAAAAATTACCAAGAACAACAGCAACAGCAAAAAAATCATACTTTAATATTCTAGTAAAATTGAATAATAGTTAATAGCAATGATAGCTGGTAACTACCTGATTTTAAATTTGTTCTATCGGGCATGGAAGCTATTTGTTATCTGTAAAAAGTGAACATTAATACTATTAATATCATGAATGTGATTATATTATAAATTTTAGTTTGATTCATCTTCATAATCAGCATAAAAATAACTCACATGGATAAGCTAAAAGTTCAAAATTATAATTCTTCTCCGCATAAAAAGTATCTAATCTTACCCACCTCCCGTTTTTGCGAACTTAAGTAAAATACTGAAACAGGAACTGAGTAGTTAAAAATGGCTTTTTTTTGTTTTTTGCATTTCAGTCATTACAAATTTTTTTACGAATAACTGAGATTTAGACGTTCTCCCCCAACCAATTGTTTTGAAATTACTTTTAATCAAGTAAAGTCAATATATTGCCTCTCTTATGCTGCATATAATTTATTTTTCTGACGAACATTTTTTCTTTGTTTCAGGTAAAAATGAATTTCACATGTTTGATGCCTTGGGAAATGTCTGAATTTTTTAAATTTATGACGAACTGTCAAAGTAATCTTTTGTGTTGAAAAAAAACCAGCGTCTGAAGAGAAAACCTTTCTAGGAACTAAATGAGATCTGAAGAAACAATAATTGCAATGGCAGAGACTGCGTTTTGTCCCCCACTTGAATGTTATTCGGAATGCTCGCTCTATATTTTGTTTCTTATGACCTCGCCCCCTCTTGTTTTTTTTTTGTTTTTTTCTCAGTATTGCATGGTAATATTGAAGTATATGGTAAATAGTATCGTAATTGCAAGTTAGACTGACACCGTTTTTTCGTACAATTGTACAGGAAAGAGCTCTTTACAGTATTCTCAGTAGGTTGCATAAGTGATACCACATGGAATGAACTATTTGCTTTCTCTTGTGAGGAATGCAAATGCACGCTCTTACAAACGTTGAATTCCAGTAAAATAATTTTCTTGGCTTTTAATGGGAGATAGCAGACAGCGCATACATATTGCCTTTACTCTTGTGACCTTGCGGAAATCTACTAATGCACAGAATAAAATTGTGCTACGAATCTGAAAACATGTAAAGAGTTTTCCGTCTTAAAGTATAGATTAGTTTCGAAAGCCGCTATTATAGAGAATAGAGACTTATTCAATTTATTTACCCTGCAGGCTGGTATTGAAATTGGTAGACAAAGCGATAGATAAAGTAGACAACGGGAAAATGGAGCTATCCTAGTAGTTGAAACGGGTGGCTCTTACGGACTAAGGTGGGATATGATGGACTAACCATAGGGTCTTTCGTGAGCTGCCGTTAGTTAGTCTATTACTTACCTCCTTTGTCCATTGGAACCTCCCGCTTTCACCAATAGGATCGTTTAATTTCCTTCCCTCCTTTGTCTATAGCGTCGTACATCAATTTTAATGATTATTAGGTGGTACGGTGATCATGTACAAAATTTTCGATTTGTTCATTCATAAATATCCAACGATTTCATTGGTACGTGGTGCAGATTTTGTAGCCAGGCACTCGATTTGGGAAGTGGTTTATCGGGATTTGATTTGCATGGATGATAGCATGGGTGATCTCCCTTCCGTCCCCGAATGATTTGCATCTTTGCATCATACGAGCTCAATGGCGATTCTCCCAAAGTAATGGAGATGTTGCATGTGTGAGGAATTTGCGATTTGACTGTTGAATCTTATGTAAAAGTTTGCGAGAAACACGATGGTGCCACTGGTTTTCTCTGAAATCAACTCCCAAGCTCAAAAAAAGCTCTCAAGTTGAGGCTAAAATGGAGGGGATATCCCACGCTATCCTGAGAGTCCACCTCTACATCAAAACAAACTCCCTATGCAAAGATAGGGAGCAAGTACATTCGCAGGGTTGCCGTGTTTTCAGTTTTGGAGTCCCCAAATAAAGTGACAGCCCTGTCAATGTATTTGCTCCCTATCTTTGTATGGAGAGTTTGTTTTGATGTAGAGGTGGACTCTCAGGGTAGGGTGAGATATCCCCTCCATTTTGGCTTCAACTTGAGAGCTTCTTTGAGCTTGGGAGTTAATTTCAGAGAAAACCAGGGGCACCATCGCGTTTCTCGCGAACTTTCACACAAGAATTAACAGTCAAATCGCAAATTCCTCACACATGCAACATCTCCTTACCTCCGTTTTCCCCCGTTTAAATCTATTATAAATAATCGATTCTCAGCGAGGCAGCCGACTTCGATCAGAATCGATCATTTTCCATGGGATTAAATGGGTGGATCTCAGGGCTAACGACGAGCGAGGATAGCCTTCGTTTGCGCTCAGTGTATTTCTGTTATGCCATGCTAAGACAAAACGCCGTATCAGCTTTCAAATGTTGCCAAACTTCCTCTGACACATTACGAATTTGTACTTATTTTTCTTTCAATTTTTCAGGGAATAGTAGTCGTATTTCAATCCGAAGTGTCTAAAAATTTCAATGGAAAATACTCATCACTTCCCTTAACATTTTTTTTTCTGAGAGTAATTTTGGCAACAGTCGAATGTTCATATGGCGTTTTTCCTTCCTCGAATGGATCCCCGGTTCATGCACTTATTTTGTTTCACGAAAATGTTAGATTGAGAATGCTAAGTCTTGTAGTAGGAGTCAGTATGTTTTTTTGGCCCACTCCAAGTATGAATATATTGTTGTAGCTTATTGTTATTCATTCTCTAAATATTGGATAAGTCTTTAGCGTAAATGTTTGCCAAACTCCCAATCGAATCTAACGGAAGTGTGTTTATTTTTTCAGATAAGAAATCCTTTATTCACCGGTTAGGACTCATTAAGTCTGAAAAAGATGGAGGTTAGTATCGTTGATTCTTGGTGCAGAAATATTCTTCCTGTCGTTTCCTCGATCATTATGTAAAAATAGTGCTCAATGAAATGTACTCAAGTACTGAAAACAATTGCGGGTTTTCTAACTATTCTGTGTGGTAAGGAGATCAGGGAAAAAATGTTAAGCTTTTCCATACACGCAATTTCATATCTCTATCTCCAGCTCTTTATTGCAGCCTTGTCGTCTCTCAAAGATTAATTTGATCGCACGATACGCAATGAGGAACTAACTTTTTAAAATTCATTTTCAAAACACTACATTTTCCATGCAAGGCCGAAATCTTGCTGATTTACGGTCGACCGAAAGTTGAGGAAACTTTCCGAGAATATTCTGTTTCAAAAACAAAGAAGGGCCATATTCATAGTCGGTCCCCGGTTTTTGCGGTGTTGCAACTGCACGCAGAAATGTGTCGTTTCCGTCGCAAAAGAACGTAACTCCATCTCAATGTTGCCAAATTTTCCCTCGCAAATTGCACATTAACCCGGAGAATCTGGAGCATTTCTGACTGGAAATTTCGCAGATTTTTCCTCAGGTTTCCAGCAAAAATGAGAAACATTTTGTCCAAAAATTCCAAAGGTACATTTTTATTAAAAGAAAATTAATTGTTTGAGTCAATTTAGCAACCTTGGAATGGAGTTCCTTCGTCCGGGAGACGACAAATTGTCAAGTAGCCAGAGACGCTCAAAAATGGAAGAGGTATTGTCATATGGATTGCATTTTGTAATAAGGAACCACTATCTCTGGCTCTCCCATAAATGCACATATCTGCATAGGGAAACCAGTGCCATGTATGTTGTTTCTAAAATGGGCCAGAAATAGTGGTTCCTTATTGCAAAATGTAATCCATATCTAGGTGTGATTAAAATCGATTGTAGGTGTACCGTGCATTCAATCAGACACTCATTGCGATGTTTTTCAGTTCCAGATCTGAAACACATGGCGAAGAACTGTCAGGTGAACAGCATGAACAGCATGAACAGCTTGAACAACATGAACAACATGAACAGTATGAACAGTATGAACAGCGTGGGGGCGGGGGCGAACAGCATGGGGTTCCTGCACGGGAACAACCTGGGTCCGTCGGCGAGCGAGCTGTACGAGAACCTGCTGATGCACTCGTCCAACGACCGGCAGCACTACCTGTCGAACGCACTCTCGATATCGCAGCGGTACCTGGACCAGCTGCAGAACTGCAACACGGGGGTCGTGGCGCTCCACAACAACTCAGCGAGCAACAACTCCTACGTGGACTACTACGAGTCCAGCTCGGACGTCTCGACGGCGGAGATGAGCATGCAGGAGTACAGCATGAACAGCTCGGGCAACAACTCGATGCTCATGGAGTACCGTCCGCGGAAGCACAACAAGGACAAGGAGCCCGTCTTCGGCTGCGAGGACTGCGGCAAGCGCTACCGCTCCAAGACCTCGCTCAGCCTCCACAAGCGCCTCGAGTGCGGCAAGGAGCCCGCCTTCGCCTGCCCCTTCTGCCCTCTCAAGACCCACCAGAAGGGCAACCTCCAGGTCCACATCAAGAAGAAGCACTCCAACCCTCGCGAGTTCCCCGGGCACACGCTCACCTAATCGCCCAATCCCGACTCCGTCAGATATTCACTCCAAGGATTCCAAGAACCGGGAAACTTCCTGGAGTAACAGCAGGGCTCACTCTTGAGATTCATTGACAAAACTATAGACGAAGAAGACGGAAGGGATATGGAGGGATCCTCTTGGTGGAAGCGGGTAGTTGCAGTGGACGAAGGAGGTAGGTAATAGACTAACTAACGGCAACCCACGAGAGACCGTATACTTAGTCAGTCCATCATTTTCTCCCTCAGTCTAAAGTAAACATTCATTTCAACCAATTGGATGGCTTCATACTCCTAATGTCGTCTTTATCTGTTTGTCTATCAACTTGAATAATCAGCCTGCAGGGCTCATTATTGAAATTGTTAGACAAAGTGATAGATAAAGGAAACGCCGGGAAATGGAGCGATCCAAGGGTGATACAGGTGGTTCTCATAGATCAGGGGGAAATGATGGACCAACTGTCGGGTTCCCCATGGGTTGCTGTTAGTTGGTCTATTAATTACCTCCTTTGTCCATTGCAAACACCACCTTCCACCATCTGGATGGCTCCTTTTTCTCTTAGTCCTCCTAGTCTATAGCTTTGGCCATCAATTTAAATAATGAGCCTACGAAACTCGCTCCAAGTCTTTGTTGAGTAGATTTGTAGGGAAACTCCCACGTCCATCACCGGGATCGTCCAAGAATGTTTCCTATCTTGGGATTCTTTTAAGATGGCAAGAAGTCTCTTCGGGGCCACTGGGATTTTTTAAGTGATAACAAGGTTCCGGCTCGGAAATATCCTTCCGTGTGGCGTTTTTGTTGTGAAGTATAGCTTTCTTGAAGCAAGGAGAATTCTAGCTGTCCCCATGGACAGTTTTTGCACGGAAAGTAAATATTTGTCGCTCTCGTTGATCTGGATTTTTCTCCCGGTCGTGATCTTCGAGAAAGTACCGAGTGCTCCAAACAGATCTCAGGTTCCGGCGATGTTCTACGTAATTTTTTTTTGTTTCATCCGGAAATTTTTTTCCGGTGTGGGCATACACCCCTGTATTTTGTTTCGTGCTGAGAGTTTCAGTTTTTTTTTCCTCGCACACTGACGATCGTTTTTAGGTTTCTCCTCGAGCACATGAGGCTCGAAACATCTGTGATGATTCATTTTCGTCCCGATCGGATACTTTCGTCGTAGGAAAAGAGGACGCTTTGGTTTCAACCCTCAACCTAATCGATCACGTGAATTGGAAATTTCGGGGCAAGTCCTCGCCAGTGGTTTCCGCAACTTTCTTATCGACAATCTTTTGTTATTCCTTTCGATTTCAGCTAGTTCCTCGTACCATTGCATAGAGTATCGTAGAGAGTATCTATGTCCGTTTAAAATCAGCGTCAGTACAAACCAAATTCTAAAAGAATAACCCTTTCATTCCCGAGTTCAAGTTCGCGCACACCCCTCTGAGCTACCATAGAGTCCTCGTCTTTCGAATGATAATTATTCGGTTCTCGTGACAATTTTAGCCGGTTCGATGATCTTTAAGTATTCGGCTGATGCCCGATCATTGTGTTTAATTTTATAATTGATTATTTTGCTTTTATGTTAGTTATGATTTGAATTTCTGCCCTGAATTCGTCTTAGAACGATTAAAAATGTGATATTCTCTTTTATTCTTTGATTTTTTAATTTATATCGGCTGAGCAGCGTCTCCTCCTCTTTTCACAGTTGTCTAGGTATTCAGTCATGCCGCAGCTACACCCGATAGATTTTGTTCGTTTGATCTTTTCAGAGAACATCACTGACATCCATTTGGTTACCGATTTGAGTTCAGTTTTAAGCATTCCTAGTCCTAATTTTGTAATTCGGCAGATGCTCCCACCGATGGTTCACGCAAATCTTGCCTCTTTGAGTTTTGTTTCATCCAATTTATTTCACCTTCAAGTTCGCGTGCTGTACATTTCAACTTAACCTTAGTTTGAAAAACAAGAACTACGCGCCCCATTAGCATCTCACATTCTCATCGTTTCATCCAAAAGGACTTTTCTTTTTCTATTTTAAGTTGTCGGATTTAAAGGTAGGTAATCAAAACGACTCGAAGTTAAAGGAAATAACAGGCCATTTTGCCACCGTCAGAGACTGACAATGAGGCTCACCTAATCGAAGGTAATGTCTCAGAGCTCCCTAAACAACTATCAGGGTTTCTACAGAGTAAAGAGAAACCTCAAGAGTCTCTTGATCACCCATTCAATTTACTTATGTTTATAATTTTACCTCTCTTATTCCGTTCTCGAGTTAATTTCACTCTTCCTTTTCTTAATCATTTCATCACAAAATCCTCAACCTTTTTCATAATTTATTTTCTAATTTGCGTTCATAAATCAGCCAGAATCTTGAGTGTCTTGATTTTTCGTCACTTCCCTTTTTGGTATTCTAGCTTGCACTTAAGTATCTATTTCGGGATAAGTCAATCAAGGTAAAATTTAAAATAAATTATCCTAGGTAAATCTTTTACACGAGTAAGCAATTGCACGTTCTTTCTCTTAGGACATGATGTCTTCTCCGCTATCACCGCTATTCTAATTAAGTAACTTTCAATCATCTCCCATAGCATTAACTAGAATTTCGAACTGTTTTTTTTTTCTATCACAAGTTCCTAGATTTAAGTCATTTTTTTAGGTATATTTTTCTGTTTTAATAAACTGTTCTGTGCTGTTTATTTTATTTTATTCTCATGTCCTGTGACTTTACGATTGATATTTACGTCCCCATGTTATACTCTCTTAAATTTCGTTAGGTTTTTCATCCTGTAGAGTAAGATAGTATTAAACACTTTCAGTATTATTGTTTTTGTAATATTGATTTAATTTCTTAGGTTTTTTTTATTATTTTTTCCTCTTACATGTTTTTGGAATCTTTCTTTCCTCTGAATATATGAAAATGTGTCCATCAACTCATTGAAATGATTCTCCAGGATTTTAAAATGAGGCTTTCATTATTGTTCCTCTCGTTTAACCATAATCATTCATTTACCTTATCATATTATTTTTTCCATGTATCATTAGTTTGTATATATTTGTTCTGATCGATTTTTCAATTGATACTTACTCTTTTGTAATTGGTGGATTTGTTGCAGTGATATTTTATTATTCCTTTCCGTATTTTCCCATCCCTCTGTTTTATTTCTCTTTCCTATTTCAAGGTTTGGAAGTGTTCATGCAATCAGTCAAACTTTTCCATTTCTCATTCGTGAAGTTTAACGGTAGAGGTTTAGCGTGTGAAGTAGGGAATAGCAAAGGATAAATGGACGGCAAAACCTAAATAAGAACTAACTTTGCCTCATCTCAGAAACAGCCTATCTTCCGTTGATTTCCCTATCATTGGCGATCTAGCATATTGGCAACATTGCCTTTTCTCCATTCATACCTGTGGAAATGTATCGATTCGTGGAGGGGCCTGGTGCTCCGACAAGAATCGATTATTTTGGAACAGGCTTAAATGGAGGCAATCCTGTGTTGCCAAATTGCTGGATCCGCCTCTGATCCCTATGAAGTGAGATGCATCTATGAATCACCTAGAAAAGTTGGTTTCTTTAAGTGCAATGCCGTCTAGAAATACGATAATGGAGCTAGTCGGGAACTCTCTTTAAGATTCTATTCGAAATGTAGAATTTCGAAAGGACTTGAGTTTTCAGAAGAATGTAGATTTTAATAAGCATATTTGTTGTAGATCTTTGTATTATAAATTTTTGACCTATATCGTCGTGATGAATTATGAACAAATATTCCTCTATTTTTTGAAAATCCCCCAATTCCTGTTTCTAACAAGTGTGTACATATATACTTTTATCTTTAAAAACTTTCATGTATAGGTATGAATTATATTTATGCATACGTACATTATGAATTATTGTATAATGATTGCACGTATACGATTAAATTTATCGATTAATTTAAGGCATTGATCAATAGTAATAAACTGAAACGTAAAACGCTTCTTCCAAATCTCATATCATATATCGACTACACAAACATTCACTTTTGATAACTAGCTTTGATTCTATACAGAAGACTTGGCTCTTGCATAAATTGATTTCATAGTTTTAAGATTTAGTTTATAAGGTTCCCAGTATGTATAGTTTTTCTGGAATAGTTAAAAAATTATTTGACATCACGACAATACAACATGATACATACCTTATACAATAATAATACATAAACAATGTAATTTCATAGCTCCCCCTTGCTCACAATTCTTATAGATTGGCTCTATCCTCAGTTTATTATTCTAAGAAGAGCAAGTATGTCTAACACTTCCTTTTCAATTTATCTTTATGTGCAAATTTTACTACCCGATCAATTAATTTCTTCATGTTGTAGGCTGTACCATACTCTGACACAAATTTTATTAGTTTCTCGTGACATGTTTCCAACCATGACCATTAATTTTTTGCTTCTTTTTGCTGAATTGTTCCACTCCTTAATAATTAATTTGTATCATCTCTAAGTATTCCAAGACTAAAGCGTAAAGTAAAATATGTTCAAGGTGAGCCTGTGTCCCAACCATACGGTCTGTGCTAGGAATTCCCACCACTTCAAGCTTTTCAGTTCCTCTTGTCCCTCCCAGCAAATTTAACAATATTGAGTAAACCCAATTGATATCTATCCTGACCTATTCTATTTATGAACGAAAAAAATCTAACACACCCGAACTTTCTAACGGTGCACACTAAGTAATCATTATATCTTCTTGGCGAATCTGAGGTATAAGAAAATAGAAAATCTCATCTAATTTTCATTGACACGCCAGAATAGTGTTTTTATGTACCTATAATTTCAATTACAGGATATCGAATCCTTGTGTGTTTAGAAAAAAAAAAAACTTTTTTTTGCAGGGAGGTCCATATATTATAATTTCCACACTTAGGACCATAACTTTATCTTTGCATGCTCTTTGGAAATAACCGGCAAATTGAATTATTTAATTAAAATACTTCCTTTGCGAGTTAGTTGAGTGTCAAAGAACGCATATCCTCCCTGCCTGAAAATTTTTGGCGGAAATTTAGAAAAGCTAGTCATGGTAAAACAATATTTGGCATTACAGTCTCCTCTGGATTTTATCCAAGCATGACGAGCACTTCTAGCGTCTTACTTCCCCTCTCGTACACTCGTATGGTTAGATTTAAAGTTAGAGTTAGTGGAACTCAGTGGCGTGGCGTGCTTTGCGATGCATCGATTAATCTACCATTTAAACCTGTAGAAAAGGATCGATTAACAGGATATTCGCAACGAACTCCTTGATAATCGATTCTTTACCACAGTGTAAAATGGGGAACAATCGATAATAATCGATCATTCACGCATTGCCACTGAGCGGAACAAGTTCCTCTCCCAGTTACGAACTGTCAGATTTAGAATTTTGGTTTAGTTTCAAGCTCTGCCGGTGGTTTATTTTACGTGAAACATCTTGCCGTTTTTCTCATTCTTGCGTAGGATTACCGTAGTTTCCTCTCAGTATTCATACTAAAATACTCAAAATTTGATCTCACTGTTCTTACGAGCATCAGTATTATTGCGAACAAATTTTTTGCTGACTGTTTAACTTCATCAGAAGTAGTTACCTATCTCGCTATTATACGACTTGGCGTGTTTTAGGCGCTGCATGAAAGTGTTCATTTTACAGCCTCCGGGCAGCTCTCAACTCTATATTTATTTAAGGATGTAGGATATAGCACCGAAAAATAGGTGTACTCTCTCACGAATTTTGATGATTTCCTTTCAGTTTTGGTCTTTAGGATAAGTGCAAGTTTTGCTCTGCTGCAATCGCACACTAGAAAAAAACACATTGGATCTAGAGTCCAGACTCTTGAAAACATTGCCAAGTAAAATAACTCCTGATTCAATCAGATTTAAGCTTAAATCAAAAGGAAATCCGCTCAAATTAAGAGGCTGGGTTCTTGATTTAAGCTTAAATCTGATTGAATCAATAGTATTTTTTCTTGTCGATGTTTTTAAGAGTCTGGACTCTAGATCCAATGTGTTGTTTTTTCCCAGTGCAGCTCTTGTGGTTTTTTTAACCTTACCGATTAATGTTTCCTTTTAGTTGTAAAGTATTATTTATTATTAATCATTTTTTATCTTAGAAGTTTAGATGGCACCGAGCTTGGAAGTGAAATCAAGATCACATTGAATTTAACTAGATTATTTTGAATTGAAAGTTCATCATTGTAACTCAGTCAATCGTATTTTAAGAGCAATACCTTGGCACTTGTAAATATTGAAAACAAATTGAGCACGTGTAGGCTTAGTTAGGAATGGAAACAAAATATTTCATCGTGAAATCGTCTTCGTGCATGTCGATCAATACAACTGCACTTGTCTCTGCAATCACGCATATCTCCGAATTACGCAGGAAATCGTTTTCATTCCCTCTCAAAATCGGTTTTTAGCAATTTGTATGACTCATTAAAATAAGTTTTCTTCCGTATCATACTTGAAGTTGATCAATCAAGGTCACGTTATTTAATACTAAGACTTTTCGTAGAACGCCCAACGTTCTTAGCTTGAATTTTTACTTTGAATCCCCCCCCCCCTTTGTTTTATCTCAATTAAATCGGATTGTAGCTTAAAATTTTCCTTTTGAATTTTCTCTCTATCATCACATGAGGTTTTATACGTTTTTTATATTATTAATTAGAAGTCTTTTTGAATAATATTTTTTTTTTTTTTTTTGGGACACAGGCTCTCCTAATTCCATATCTCTGCTTTTTGTATCTCCATCTATTTTTCTCTACGCCGATCTCAAATTGTTATTATCCAGTATTTATTTATTTATTTCCTTTTTAATCTCTTTTTTATTCCTCTTTTATTTCTGAAATTATGTTCTTAAATAAAAAAAACTTCAAATTTAATGCTGCATCTTTATTCCTACTCCCCTTATCTCTTCATCGTGCGGTTTACCATCGCTACTAGAGAAATACCATTTTGAAAATTAATTGAAAGAAACTATGAAATATAATTAAATTTTCGGTGGACAAAAATGTAGAAGAACTTTGGCATACTTCAGCTCTCATTCTTTTTTCTAAGCTTAATCTTTAGCACACCAACAAGATCTACTTATAATAGTTCAACAAAAATCTTGATTGCAAGTCAACTTGATGTCAAATCACAATACAGTGTTATTTTTTGGCCATGTTTATTGACAGTTGAACGTGAAAGTTCATGTGCATATGTTCGAAAGATTCTTTAGAAATAACGACAAGAAAGCTCATAATTTTGCTTCATGGAAGCTTAAGAAATGTTTAATTTTTGATGTTTTCGAATGGCAATTTACTTTTAATATGAATCCTTAATCGAGAGATTATGAAAGCTTTTTTCATACTGTGTGTACAATCCAACTGATACTAATGATTGAACGAAAAAATATTTTAAAAAACAAAGCTCGCCTCTTATAGCCTTAAGCTCGCCTCTAGGTTTTGATCAGTAATTTACACGCACTGTCAAACATATTCTGGCCGACAGCATATTTCTAAGTTCATAGAGTTACTGAAAAATATAGTACAGAATTTAAGTTAAATTATCATGATAAAAACTGCTCAGGGGCATAATCTTCGGTTGGATTTAGAGTCGCCTAGACTATTTTTTACAGTACATTGAAACAGGAAAACTTTCAGAATTGGCTACAGATCTCCTCACAATTTTACACGTGGCATGAGGAACAAAAATATCATGTTGCTTCAGTTTACATAACTAATTTTAGGCGGAAATCGGCAAAAATTCATCTCGTGAAAACAATTAGTCAAGGCCGAAAGCGTTTTCTGGAGCGATAACCTTGCGCATGTTAAATGAAAGAAATTCAATGTTATTTTGTCTTTAGTTACTTGGAGATTCCGCTCTAAAAATAAATTTTGTTTTAATTGATTCAAGCAAGAATTAGCCCCGGATGGGGAAAATGGTAGTGGGTGCTAAGCCCTGTGTCCACTCGTCAAAATGGCGTCTAAATGAAAGCTCAAAGTGAATCAATAAATACGATCTGTTCGTGATTGTTGATCAAAAAAGAGTCGTGCCGCTCTATTTTGAGTCGCAGCACTCATCAATCGCATCAAGCCCCGACTTTGGGCCCATTATCGTTGAAATCGATTCACTTTGAGCTTCGATTTTGACGCCATTTTGACGAGTGGAGGCAGCGCTCCATAGACTGAGCAAATATGCTCCAGGTAAGACGGTGCTAATCAGACGCTCAGTAGTTCTTGCGAACTTGTTCCAAGTCAATTTTTCTTAGGACTCCATAATGAAGAAAAACGAAGATAAGATGTACAAGTAATTCGGAGATCAACATCGTCTCGTGATACTCGATGATACTATAGTTTGGAGCATTTTCTTCGCGAAATGATGAATTATTGAGTAGAACTTTCTTAACTTAAGATCGGATAACAGTGGTAGCTTCAAATAAAGCAACTGAGCCTATTTTTGAGTTTAGGAACTAAATTTTGAGTTTCAGTAGTCGTGTCTAGAGAGTATCCAGCCACCTTCCACCATTTTTTTCTTTTTCTTTTTCTTTTTTTTATCACAGTGGCAGTCGGCCACTGATACCGCTGACTGATACAGGAAGAGTAGCACTCAACAATTTGGTTGCTCCATCTTGAACTCCATTTTTAGTGTTTTTTCCGAAGGAAAAATACACTATTTTTTGATCATGTAGTCCAACCTTGAATAGTGATTTCCGCTGAAGAGATCGGTCAACATGTAGCTCATCGGCCATCATTTCTGTCAAAAAAAAGGAGCGTTATTCCGCCAGAGAGACAATGAGAGCAGTACTTTTAAATAAAATGGCGCCCTTCTCCGCCAATTTCTAACCTTAAAATTTGTTTTTGTTGTTGCTGTTGTGCGTCTAGATTGCAATCACGAGAGCGTGCAAAAGATAGCATTTACGGCTGTCTTCCCTAACAATAGCCTAAGATGAAAATGAATTTGACCATTCTCATATAAGTATAGTCGTTTAAATTCGTCGATTTTTAATCATCTGAAAGATTTTTGACAGTCTTTCAGATGATTGGTGGGAATGTGACAAAGAATGGAGGTTTCTCTCCATAAAATTTTCCGGTTAGATGCTCCTGAGCCCGTTCTCTCATAATTTCGGTTTCGCACTTACGGCTCTTTTCGATAAGTACTGGAGTGGGGTCGGAAAAAATATTCGGTCTCTGAAAAGGGAGCAAGCGGAAGTACCCGGATACGAGGTGTTGATAGCATAATCGCAGAAGCTCCAGCGGTAGCCTCGGAGATATAAGTCCTTTTAAAAGTATAATTAATCGAATACTTATTTATTTGCGAAAGAAGACTGTTTTAATTTATGGTGGGGGACTTAAGAATCGCTGGCCAATGGGCGGATCCGTTAAAGTCACAACTCATTATTATTCGTCGGCCAAGAGCCATTTTCGCGACGAGCCAACAAAATTCTCCAGCTTGTTTCGCAAATGAAACATCGCTATGTTGTTCCGAGTCCGCCCTTCGAACGATTAGCCATCTTCGCCTTCGTGGAAACGAGTTTTTCGCTCAATCGGAAGCTCGACAACTTTCTTAGTCTCTTATTTCTTGAAATTTTCTCTCTTCTTTCCCCTTCTTTACTTCTTATCTTCTCCTCCTCCCTCTTCCTCTACTAATTGGGTTTCTAAGAAGAACGGATCACTACACAAGGTGCAAACCTAAGTCGTCCCTTGCGATGAATCGATTATCTGTCATTTAAATCAACTTGAAAGGATCGATTATCCGGGTGTCACCATTGAACGGGTGAACACCATTATGTATGATCGATTCTTTACCATAGCTCCAAACAGTGGAGTGGCGTGCTTTGCGATGTATCGATTGATTCGCCACTTAAACGTATGAATAAAGATCGATTATTATCTGGGTGTTCGCAGCGAACGCTTTAGTAATCGATTCTTTACCATAGCTTCAAATGGCGAGATATCGATAATCGATCCTTCACGCCATGCCACTGGCTCCAAAAGGGAAAATAGTGATGATCCACGATCAGCGTGAGCATTCGGATGTCGCTAGATTCTTCTGCTGATTAAAAAACATATTTTTCCGAGATTCTCTGTGTATTTTTCCATAGTTGTTAATCGACTTCAGTGGCGTGGCGTGCTTTGCGATATATCGACTTATCCGTCATTTGGACTGCATTTTGCAATTTGGAACTATAAATTCTGGCCCGGTTTAAAA